ATCTGATGTCTCTGATCCATCGCATTAGAATTGCAAAGACAATGTAGTTAGAGGCAAGATGCAATATTACTCTTTCTTATTTCTAAATAAATTGATTTACTATCGTAAAATTTATTTATGAAATAAAGGCATTTCTTTACTTTAAGATTATTGTTTTAACTTTTCACGAGACCTAATACCAAGAAAGACGTGCCTGTTCATTGTATATCTGGATGATTATGTCTGTAGCTTGGAGAAATAGCAGACGGCAGCCCGAAAAACTGATTTAAAACTTATACATCGTTGTTCTTTTTCTTCTTTTTTTTATTCTCTTCGTCAAATATACACACAATCACAAATTCCTTCTGACTTTTCGTTGTTTCATTTCAAATGAGAAAGCAGAAATAGATGATATGATTTTTTGTTGCGTTCGCTGACACTTCCGTTAATGGCACTTGTATACTTTTTACTTCTAGACTATCGAGATACGCTATTGACTGTCTTTATTTACAAGCCTCGTTCTCAATGTCTCCAGTCGGTGATTTTCTTTTTCAATTGCTACCATACGTTCCCTCTAACTTATGACAGATGTTTTAATTTATTGCTCAAAATAAGTAGCAGGAAATAAATAATTGGGAATTTTCTTTTCTTTTTCATCTGGACAACATTCGTTTTATAACGACTCTATCGTTTTGCACAATCCGAAAGTGAATTTAGCGGCCATGAGAGCTCGACTGGATCATTCCTTATTACATATTGAGTTAATTAGGCCATTATTCTTATCATGTTTATACATATATTCTTATAGATATAACATATCGGCTGTGGACTATCCATATACTTGTTGTTGTTATTTGGTTACCCAGGCTAAGGGATATCTCACATTTGTTGGTATTATTAATGGTAGGAGTGGCTTTAATACTTGCTTAAAGAAGGTTACAATTAACTGCTGATTATGAATTCAGTCTCTGAAAAAGGTAGTGAAAACCATATTTTGGATTCAGTTGAAACGAGGTAAGATCAACATGACTTACAGGTTAGCTGTCATTAATCCCGCAAAGAGTAATCTAGTTCATTCAGTAATCCTTTATTAATAGGAGTAGATTAGTTCGCCTATAGTCTAATGTACATTGCTTCCCGGTTTTTTGAACAGTAACAGATGTCTATCCCTTGTTTCCTGTTTAGGCTTGGGTTTCCAGTTTCTTCAAAAGTCTACTTCAATTCTATATTTCTTACATCTCCGACTAAACTCTAAATTATTATTTTCTATTTTTTGTTATATCTTCCTCAATGAGAGTAGATAGGTTTTGCTGTCGTCCGGTTCACACTCTTCCCAGTCCTGGGAACAGGCGTAGAGGTATATCCATTGTTTTTGTTTAGCCTTTGGTGTACCGTTTCTTCTAAAGTATATTTCAACTCGATAATACTAACATCTCCGACTTAACGCTAAAATTTATAACCTATTATTGGTTATATTTTTCTCAGTAGAAGTAGATGGGTTCTAATATCGTCGGCTTGACACTCCTTCCCGGCCTTTTGAACAGGAGTCGACGTCTATCCATTGTTTCCTGTTTAGGATTAGTTTTCCGGTTCCTTTTAGAGTCTTATTCTTTTCTCTTCCAGCAGCTTCTTTCGTGTTAGTGGAATTATCGTATTGGTTCTATCTCATTTATTTTCCTCTCTCTCCCGATCTATCTATTACATTCGTTTTCCCATCTTTCTCTCTCAATATATCTCTCTTTCTCTCTCTCTCTCTCTCTCTCTCTCTCTCTCTATATATATATATATATATATATATATATATATATAATATCATATATATTCATCCTCTCCCTGTCTCTATATCTATCTTATACATATTCCTCTCTCTCTGTTGGTCTGTCTATCCATCTATCTACTGGGTGCTGTCAGTAAATTGTCGCCATATTATTTTTAAATTAATATATACATATATATATATATATATATATATATATATATATATATATATACACATATTATATATATATATATATATATATAATTATGAATAGAATGTGTCCATAAAGTTCCTTTTGCACTTTAAAGTTATAAATTATTTAAAGCTCACACAACTTTATGGATGCCCTATATATATATATATATATATATATATATATATATATATATATATATATATATATATATATATATATATATATATATATATATATATATATATATATATATATATATATATATATATATAATATATGAAATACGTCAGATTTAAATCTTTTCTATTAAAATATAAAGCCCTATACAACGTACATAATTTTAAATTCTTTTTGTCAGCTGTGACAGAAATAAAATAAGTACTAGTAACCTATTGTATTATAACAAACTCGAGCGCGTGATATATAATTAGTGAAGGACAGGCGTACATTTGACAATAATTCTTCTTATTGTTCCTCAGAAATTATTGCTAAATTGTATTTTAAATATTTCGTCACTGTATCACATTTCGTTTTTTTCTAAATTAAATTCATGTTGACCCCCCCCCACACACACACACACACACACACACAAATAAAAGAATTAAAATAAAAACAGTATTTCTCTCATAATTGTTATGGCGTTGTTCAATCCATTCTTTCCAGCTTAGGTTAAGAGTTTTAAAATATTTTGCTCGATTCGGTGTGTGTGTGTATGTGTGTGTTGGGTTGGGTCGATATTCTCAGCTGCATGTTTCCCCACAAAGGCAACATTGCAAGCTTATCAGCCATCTATCAGAATCTCCATGACAAATGTTAAGACTAACTTTAGTTCCTCCAATTCAGACCGAGATCAAGCAATGCTACTTCCACAGCCCAATTTTTCCGGTGTTCCAAATAGAAAAGAAAATTACTCAGTCTTTTTTCCAAGTGGATGCTTCTCTTAACACTATCATCTTAACATTTCCCTTTCTAAAATTGATCCAATAGGATGTTAGAAAGACACTCAATATATAATTTTAATAAATGAGTGGTGTGATATAACATTAAAAGGACGCAACAGGAAGTGTAGCTTATGAGGATGCAGAGGATAGATAAAGATTGAAAGAAGCTTTTCAGCTAAAGATCAAATATTTTCTAACCTTATGTTTATAATCCTCACTTCTTATTCCCCCTATTTTATTCGTATTAAACACCACACTAATCATTATAATTTGAACTGCTATTCTCTACCTTGTGTGGATCTCCATTATTGTAGTAGCACTAACCAATCTTTCTGACAACATAGGATTGATATCGTCGTCAAATCTGTCATAATTCATTTTCCTCTATTTATAGATTGTGGAAAGTTTGGGTGTATTTCTTACTGAAAAGAACAAACCGTATTTGCTGCTAAGCAAAACCGGAAATTATTTACGACTGAACCGAAGACGATCGTAATTTTTGGAAAAATTAAAAAAAAATAAAAACTTAATTTGCATAAAATAACTGGTAAGTGATTATGCTGGGAAATCTCCAGACAGATGAACAAAATAGAACAAGTTAGAATTTATCGACGAAGGCGGCGAATATTGAGGACAAAAAGTTTAAGAATGAGGCAATTTTAAGAAACATTAACGATACAAGAAAACTGATAGTTATATTCAGAAAGAAACAGCTGGAAATTTGGGGATGCCTGATGAAGAAAGAAGACCTGGAGAATTTACAACTCATACCCTAATGAAAGCAAGAAAAGCGGGTAGAATCAGCGAGTAGCCTGTTTCATTGTTTTGTGTAAATGGATGCCAGTACAATCAAGCAATATTAAAAGGTGATTCGGCGTACAAAAAGTCGATGCTGTGGAGAGATCTGATCAAGTTTGAAAGACTAAGTGGAAATTGAGCGAATTTTATACTAGCAGAAAATAGTTGCATGTTAATACAATAAAAAAAATCACATATATCCTTAATATATCTATTAATTAAAGTTATTTTGATCATTGGTAATACTCGCGTAGAAAAGGATAACTGAAAAAACGACATTATTGTCTTTAATTCTTTCTCGGCCCTGATAGAAAATGCTGCTATACCTATTCGAAGTAATGACTAATGCAAGTCATAAATTTTGCAAGAAAGGGACGGGTAGAAAGGCATCATAGGAATTATTTTAAGTTCATGTATTTTTATTTTTTTACCTGAAGCTATAAAAGACGAACCCCCTAAAGGAACTTAAAAAAAAACCAGCAAGAGAGGGGGAAAAAACACAATAATCGCATAAAGCTTATGAGTGAAAGCAGCGGGCGACGAGTGTTGAGGTGGGCTGAAGATAGAAGTGAGGTCACTGATTTATCCAGGGAGCCTGACCGGATCAATAACCATGGGTAGAAGAATGTTACAGTCACACGGAGCCATTTCTCAATGTCGACTAAAATATAACAAAAAAGATTTTAAAAAATAATCAAAAACACGTACAGACTGCAAACAACAGAATGCACTACAACAACAACAATAATAATAAAAAATACTTCAACATCGATATTTATAAGTTTTCGTAACTTTGATAAATTGACCACAGGGAACAGAGACGAGATAAAAAAAAAAACTTGCTTAAGGTCAAAATGTTCGCCCCTGGGGTCGAATTCGTGCCAAGATGGTCGAGTAACAATGCATTTTTTTTATATGAAGGACGAGTAAAAGGAGATGGGACTATTAGAGAAGAGGAGGAGAAATGATAAAGAGGAAAGATGAGAGGTAGAATGGGAAGAGAGAAAAGCGGGGGGGGTGATAACAAAAAGGGTGTAAGATAAATAAATTATTCGGCAAAAGAGACGACGCACGTCAGATTTTTGCAGTGAAAAGTTTTCTTTTTTCAAAGAATTAAGCCTAATAAGATTCATAGTTGGGTTTATAGAATGAACAGTTAAGGTTTCTTCGCAAAATTTCATTATTTACTGCTTCTTTTACAATCTTCCGTTTTTGATTGGATCCATGGATTTTCTTCTAGCGTACATTTTGTTCTTACTTTCTTTCTTTCTATTCCTTTTTCTTTCTTCATTTTATTTTATTAAATTTCTCCATGCTTGTCAGGATTATGATTTATTTTCATTTTATTCGCTTATCAAGAATTTTTTTTCTTTCTTTTTTCTTTCTTTCATTTGATCTTTCTTTTTCTGTTTCTTTCATTTTGTTATAATTCTTTAGTATTAGGTTGGTGCAAAAATAATGACGTAATAATGTCGTTTTTGACGTTAAAAAATACGTCAAAAACGACATTATTACGTCATTATTTTTGCACCAACTCTTTCTTTATGTAACCAGTACTACATGTCGCAGAGTCAGGCCATTTACGACTAAACTTTTTTTTTTCCTCAGGTTTTCAGGTGCCTAGGGTGTCGAGACAACCAGCAGGATTGAACACGAGTTCTGTTAACCTTCTTACAGGGCCACAGTACATATGGCAAACAAATAGACTAGGGTCCATAGGTATATATATGGCTAAGACGGTATGGCTGAGCGGAGGGCTACAGACTAAAGACAACGGCCATGACATAAGGCCCGTATCCGTGACGAAGGTAAAGGACATCGGACATTATTTGGTCTGCGGAGAGATGGGCCGCCAGATCTATAGTCACGTTATGAATGCTTTTCGACGTTCGACCAAGATATGTGGAGAGAACTGCTTAGGTGTTCAATTGTTCAGCCACTCTACAGCTACACACATTCGTCGGGATGATGATGATGATGATGATGATGATGATGATGATGATGATGAAAAATAAGAAAAACGTGCACGTGTAGCTTAACCGATATTTGCGAAGGATAAAAGTCGTTCCGAGTTCAAACTCCGATAGAGTCCGTTGTACAAAGGTCCTTATGAAAGTAATGAATCCATTTCT